AAGATGAACTCTTACGAATCAGTCAATAATCTATTTTAAAACTTTCCTAGAGAAAGCTGGAGACATAAATAAGCAACTACTGAGCAAATACCTCTATTGGAAATGGACACTATTTGATTGTAGGTTCCCTAGAGGTCTTTTCTTACATTCTGACTCTGACTCACATCCTGAATATTCACCTGGTGGCCTTTATACACATTGTGACATCTAGCCTGACGTCTGCACTGCCATCTCCTCTCTCAGAAAGACATCCCACTTCATATGGTGCTTCTTTGTGTCTTCCCTGATAATATGAAATGTGGCACAGAGTTCCACATGCACACAACTTCCAGAACAAAAGCATTGAGATGCAGATGCAATGCCCATAATGAGAAATCAATATGGCTGTAGATTGTTTTTTGTTTTTTTGAGACATAGTCTCACTCTGTTACCTAGGCTAGAGTGCTGTGGTGTCAGCCTAGCTCATCATAACAACCTCAAACTCCTGGGCTCAAGCAATCCTCCTGCCTCAGCCTCCCGAGTAGCTGGGACTACAGGCATGCGCCACCATGCCCGGCTAATTTTTTCTATATATTTTTAGTTGTCCAGTTAATTGTCTTCTATTTTTGGTAGAGACGGGGTCTCACTCTTGCTCAGGCTGGTCTTGAACTCCTGAGCTCAAACGATCCTCCTGCCTCGGCCTCCCATAGTGCTAGGATTACAGGTGTGAGCCACTGTGCCCAGCCTAGACTAGTCTTTCTGACTCTCTGATGCCAGGAGATTGTGAAGGGCAGAGGTTTTACGCACGTGAGCACAGTCTGTGGACTTGTGACAAACACTAACGTATCCAGCATGCTGATATACTAAGAGAGCTTTGGCTTTGAAGACAGGGTTCCTGGATTGGAATTCTAGCTCTATTACTAGCTACATGACTGTGGGGAAAATCACTCAACCTTCTGAGCCAGTTTTCTCATCAATAAAGTGGGGAAAACCTACTTTAAAAGGTTGCTGCTGAGAAGAAACTGAGTAAATCCTCATAAAGCATTTAGAACAGTTTCTAGAACATAATACACAATAAATGTTAAGTAGTATTATTATGGATATACAGATGAAATAAGAATGGATATTTTAGTAAGTATATACACTATGGCATGCAGTTTCCCAGTTTTTTGCTATATTCTGCTTTTGAAAGCAGTTCAAGTGAGTGGTTTGGATTGTTTTGGAAACAGTTTAGAATGGTGTCATTCTGACTGGCTGAATGAGTGTATTCAGCTATTACATGTTCTGAAAAATATGTGCCAACCAGGGCATTGCTTCACTCAAACTGAGTATCTTTTTCTCCTTGATGTAAGGGGAGACTACAGGAAGAGACTGTAACTAACATCTTTGCCTTCAGGTTTTCACCTTTACAATACACCTTTCCCATTGATACTATACTTCTTCTTCTTCACACAAAAATGATCATATTTCTTTCCTCCACACTAGCTAATTTTGCTTATAGGAGAAAAAAATTAATTCTTCAACATGACCCTCAAGGCCCCCACAATCTGGCCTTAGCCTATGTTTCCAATTTCTGTTTGATGATTTTCTCCCTGAAACTCCATACTTTTGCCAGACTTGATTATTCACCTAATTTACCATGTATTTTCATTTACTCACTCATTCATTTATTCGTTTCCTTCAAATCCTTTATGCTTACTTCCTATATGCCAGAGACTTTGCTAGGTGTTAAGGATTTTTTAAAAAATGCACAGACTTAGCTTTAAAGGAGCTCACAATCTAGTAGAAAAGGTATGTAAACAACTCACCATAAACCAGCAATGTGATAAAATCTGTAACAACGGTGACTCGTCTATAAATTCCTGTTTTAACCCTTAGGAAGAAGCAATGATTTCTGCTGGGGAATCTGCACAATGTTTCACAAAAAAGGTGAATTTTATCTTTGGTGTTAAACAATTAGGAGATTAAGTATTCAATAGGCAGATAATAGAAAATGTTTACCAGGCAAATAAAATTAAATAAAACTTTGACTACAGGCCAGGCGTGGTGGCTCACGCCTGTAATCCTAGCACTCTAGGAGGCCAAGGCGGGCGGATTGCTCGAGGTCAGGAGTTCAAAACCAGCCTGAGCAAGAGCCAGACCCCGTCTCTACTATAAATAAAAAGAAATTAATTGGCCAACTAATATATATAGAAAAAATTAGCCAGGCATGGTGGCGCATGCCTGTAGTTCCAGCTACTTGGGAGGCTGAGGTAGAAGGATTGCTTGAGCCCAGGAGTTTGAGGCTGTGAGCTAGGCTGATGCCATGGCACTCACTCTAGCCAGGGCAACAAAGTGAGACTCTGTCTCAAAAAAAAAAAAAAAAAAAAAAACCTTGACTAAATGAAAGTACCTATAACATCTAAGGAAAAGCAAGTACTTTAGTGGGTATGAACTATGCCTGTGGGAAAAAAGGTGGTAAAAAGGTTGTGGTAGACTGAAAACAGCATGTATGCTGTGATGGACCAAGATGTCTTCCATTTTTGTTTTGTTTGCCCAGTAAGTGTTTCCACTCCTCTTGTTTTCAAACAGACCTTTCCATCGTTGCTATAAAGCAGGCATCTGATCCAGGCTTGGCCAATCTAGGCAACGGTGGCTCAAATCATGTGCACCTTTATGAAGCAGACCAGGAATAAACCTTCCCTGAGATTGGCACAGTCATTCAAAGAAAGATGTGCACTTCTTCTGTTCATGGCTAAGCAGGGCTGCCTGTGATGAGGTTGTCTGCTCAATAGAGAAGGCTAGTTTGCATTTGTAGAGAATGAGCCCAACATGCAAAAGAGCAAGCAGAGATGAGACAAAAATAGAAAAAGAGTGAGTCGCAGGGATGCTGGATTTCTATTGCAGAAAGGGGCTGCTTCCTTCACTTCCACAAGTGACCTTCAACATCTCAGACACATTGGCCAATGAGTCCCTACTTAGTTCAAATTCAGTTTTTGCTATTTTCAATGGAAAGAGTCCTGATTGACACATCAGGCATATTAAGAACTCTGTTTAAGACCGGCATGGTGGCTCATGCCTGTAATCCTAACACTTCAGGAGGCCGAGGTGGGAAAATCACTTGAGGTCAGGAGTTCAAGACCAGCCTGAACATGAGTGAGACCCCCATCTCTACCAAAGATAAAAAAAATTAGCTGGGTGTGGTGGTGCACACCTGTAGTCCAAGCTACTTGGGAGGCTTAGGTAGAAGGATCACTTGAGACCAGGAGTTTGAGGTTGCGGTGAGCTATGATCACGCCATTGCACTCTACCTGGGGTGACAGAGTGAGATTCTGTCTCCAAAAAAACCACAAACAAACAAACAAGAAACCTCTGTTTAACATGGTAAGGCAATAGGAGCCACTACAGAAAAATTTTAAGACACAAAATGTTTATAAGCAAGTGAGTGATAGATCAAAGTACACTGGAAAAAAAGACATTCTATAAAAAAGACACCTGCACTCAAATGTTTTTAGCAGCATAATTCATAATTGCAATGATGTGGGCACCCAAGTGCCCACCTGAGTGGACTAATAAAATGTGATCTATGTATACCATGGAGTGCTACTCAGCCACAAAACACAATGGTGAACTAATACCTCTTGTATTAACTTGGATGGAGCTGGAGCCCATTCTTCTAAGTGAAGCATCATGAGAATGGAAAAACAAACACATGTTCTCACCATTAAATTGCAACTAATCGATCAACACCTATGTGCACATATGTAAATAACATTCAATGGAAATCAAGCAGGTAGGAGAGGGGAGGAAGGGATGGGTAAAATCACACCTAACAAATACAATGCACACTATCTGGGGGATGGGCATGGTACAAAAGCAATTTATATAACCAAACCATTTGTATACCAGTAATAATCTGAAATAAATTTAAAAAAAAACTACACCAATATTAAAAAAATCTAACTGCACTAGAAAAGCAGTTCCCATGAGCAGTACAGAAGATGGACTCAAGGGAGTCCATTTAGGCACTTCTTATGCATTTCAAGAATTTGGTCTTTTACCTTTAGAGAATTTCCGACTACCAAAATAGTCCGACAAGGCCCAGTTCACTTGGCACCTCTTGTCTAGTGCCTTCTGATCTCACTCAGATGGCATGAATAGCCCTTTGTTCTGCATTTCCGCAGTGCTGCACTTGTGCCTCTGACATCCTGGTTCTCAAACTTCAGTGTCCATCAGAATCACCTCCATGGCTTGTTAAAACTAGATTGCTAGGCCCTACCCTTAGAATTTCTGATTCAGCAGGTCTGGGCCTGGGAACTGAGAATTCTAACAAGTTCCAGGTGATGCTGACGCCGCTGGTCTCGTGGCCACGCTTTGAGAACCACTGCTCTCACCTGTTTCTTGTAGCTGTGTTCCAGTTTGTTTGCTCACGTGTATCCCTTGCTAGATTAAATATTCCTTAAATCACGCCTGTAATCCTAGCACTCTAGGAGGCCGAGGCGGGCGGATTGCTTGAGGTTAGGAGTTTGAAACCAGCCTGAGCAAGAGTGAGACCCTGTCTCTACTATAAATAGAAAGAAATTAATTGGCCAACTGATATATACAGAAAAAATAGCCGGGCATGGTGGCGCATGCCTGTAGTCCCAGTTACTTGGGAGGCTGAGGCAGAAAGATTGCTTGAGCCCAGGAGTTTGAGGTTGCTGTGAGCTAGGCTGACGCCACGGCATTCACTCTAGTCTGGACAACAATGCAAGACTCTGTCTCAAAAAAATATATATATTCCTTAAGGATTTTCTTGTTTATCTTTCTCTGTACAACCCTCAATAGCTAACACGATGCTTTACACTGTGTGATTAAGTGTGGAGATAAAATAAACACCTTATTGTAATAAATTCTTTCAGTTACCATCCAAACAGAGCTCCTCAAAAAAATGAACCATGCAGCTAGAGAAAGGATCCAAATACAGAATATATCCTGCTTTATTCTGGGCTGCATAATTTTGATGACATCTTCTACCTGGGCGAAGTATAGGGTGGCGTTACCTTAGGCATCCGGTGACGTTGTAGAATATATCAAAATCGAGCAAACCATTTGCTTTGGGGTAATCTCCTTCAGGCCAACCCGAGTAGGGGATGATGATATTCTCATTCAGGGTAAGCAAGGCTTCTGTGATCATGAGATTCTTGAGTTTGTCGTTAGAGGACAAATTCCACAACAAACCTAGAAAAGCACAGAGTTACCATGAAAACAGTGCAGGGTGGGGTCAAAACGATGGCTAAAATGTCCATTTTAGGCCATCACCTCCACGACTACAACTAGTTATAAAAAAGGGAGGGATGGTGGAGATGGCTCCTTTATCAACTGAAAGAACCTACCTGGAGCTCATTAGATGGCAGTGCAGGCTGATCCATAAAAGTGGTAAATATATAGCTTATGCTACAAAATCGTGCAGGCTTATGTGAATCAGGAATGTCAACGAAAGCCAGAAATACTTTAACATTTATGGCTGTTTCTCTCAAAAAGCCCTTCCACAAAGCTGACCACACTGGGATAATAAACTCTGGGTTTACCAACAGGAAGCCTTGCAATGGTCCTATTGTAACTAAGACATCAACATTTTACAAGTCATATTTTTTTTTTTCTCCTTTAGATAAAACATAGTCATATTTTTTTCTCCTCTAGAAATATCTTCTCCCCCACCTTTTCCCTCACTACCTGGAATTTTCAGCTGACATTTTTTTTCTCCCAATAACAGCAGAAAGGGCCAGCAGGAAAGCCTTTGCTAGGTCTGTCACCAGGAGGCGGATCAACATCACCCATTAATGTTTATTGAGTCCTACCCAAAGACAGAGCTTACGCCCTCCAGCCAGTTCTTGTTTTATAGCTTGGCAGTGAAGGCCAGACAAAAGTATTTTATCTATCTGCCAACTTGCATGATCTAAGTACTAATCTAAGACTAGTGCCACGTTTACTCATTTCATTTTCCCTTTCCTCTTGAAGTTCCTTACATTAAAGAGAAAGACCACATAAGCCAATGTGGAAGAAATCAAGATAATGGCATACTGTACTCTCCAGGACATTTGTGACACAGAGAGTGAAGCTGGGCACTGAAGGGAAAACAGGAAGTGGCATATACATTCAGTATTTGTTTTTCCTTCAATTACTTCTGATTCAGTGGAAGAAAGGCCATATACCTATCGCTTGCTATTCCAGTGACTCCCAGCAGGTATGAAGTCACCTTGCCATCTTTCCTACCTCAGTGAGTTACCAACTCACTATCACCCAGCACATGGGAAAACAGGACAGACAGAAAAAAGGGATGACTCTTCCCTTTCTACCCTTTCCTCCCCACTGCCAGGTGGATAATTCCCACTTCTGAAACTGACTGCGTTGTCTGTACAAAGGAAAGAGGACACGTAGATACACAGGGAAGTCTACTTTATGAAAAAAGCAAACATGGCGGTCTTGGTGGAACTATGTGGTGATTATTATTATCTCTTCTGATTTTAATGACTGAAATAGTAGTCTGTACTGTTAGAGCTTGGTAATTATTCAATCATGTTTATGTTTCGCCCAATCAATTAGAACACGTCAGGCCTAAAGCAGTCTTCTGGGCTTCAATGGTTTGCTTTGGCTGTGTGTAAGTAGCTTATTTCTGAAACAGTAACCAGTCTCTACTGCAGTGTACACATAGCTTCCATTACATAGAGTGACACTGGGTCTGGTATCTTGTGAGGACTAGATTTCTGGCTTATGGGGAGGTCTTTTCCTGATCAAACTAGCATGTGGGGTTAGTCATGAGCAGCCTCCCTTAGCTATGGGTTTTGCAACACAATGACTTCATTCCTCCCACTTCTGAAGAGGCCCTGGAGGCCGGACAGAGAGAATAAAACTCAGAAGGTGGTTGAAAACAATTTAAAGGCAGGTCTGAGGTTGAGTTGTGTGGTTATTAAGCTACAAAAGAAAGTTAGAAAGAAAAGCTTCCTGAGTTCTAAATAAGCAAACAAATTAACAGTCTCTGCCTTCCAGAAGCTTAAAAATGTGAAGCATAATGATGTTTCCTCTTTTTAAAAAGGACCACACAGGGCACTCAAAGGAAAAGTACACCTTACAATAAAAACCAGAGAGGATTAATTTGAACAAAGGGAGTGGAATTTTTTCTGTGAACAACCAATATCCTTTAGAGCTTGGCATGCTATATTATTTCTACATAAGTATATGGTTGGGGTAGTTTTACCATAATTTTTGAATTTTTTAATGTAGGATATTATATAGAAATGTCATGCCTGTTAAACTTCTGGGTGGCAAGGATCTGAGAAAAAAACTAAAATGTTCAATAGAGATTTGGGATTATATATGGTATATATACATACACCCTCACATACTTATATAAAATCAGTAGTACCAACTATAAATTGGGAAAATGTGTACAATAATATGAGACAAAGGGTTAATATTCTTAATATATAGAGTTCTTATACATCATTAAAAAATGAAACATCAGTAGAAAAATTGGGAAAGTACTTAATACAAAACCAAAAGATATTAGGGGCTAAAAGGTACATAGGAATGCATGTTCTCTAGTAACTTAGAAACACAAACTTAAACAGCTGGATATAAGTTTCGGTGACTATAGGAGGCAAAACCAGAACCAACAAGTGAAAATTACAAGGAAGAAGATTTTGGCTCATTGAAAGGATAAACTTCTAAGAGAGCTTTGAAGAAAACTGAGACTTAACTTGTGAGATCCAGCTCTATCACTGATAAGCGAATAAAAATTAGCTTATCTTTTATCAAAATGTTGACAGGGGGTTTTATCCTAAAATCAGAGTGTTAGACTAGATGAGCAGTTTCCAAATGAACCCAGTGACAAATCCGAGTCACACAGTCTTGGGCCACACCTTAAATTTACTGAGCCAGAATCTTAGGCTGGATTCCAGGAATTTATATTTTAAAAAATGATTCCAATTTCTGGCATCAGGAAACCAAGGGACTAGATGACTCTGAATAGATGTCTCTTTCAATGATCAGATTTCTACATTCCCTAAATATTAGGTTTTCATTTCTCACCTTTAACTTTTTTAGTCAATTTATTCATAGTACCTAAATACCTATTATTATAGTTCTTTGTTGCAGCTGGTCTGCCTGTAATTGTCTATCATGAGGCTATCATTCTAGCCAAAATGAGAGGGAACTGGGTTCTGTTAAGGCAGGGGCCTCCAACCTATGGTGAATTGTATAATTATTTCATTATATATTACGATGTGATAATAATAGAAATAAAGTGCACGATAAAAGTAATGTGCTTGAATCATCCCCCAAACCATCCCCCACCTCACCTCCCACCCCTGCCCCTGTGGAAAAATTGTCTTCCATGAAAACAGTCCCTGGTGCAAAAAAAGTTTGGGACCACTGCGTAAAGGGATATAATTTGAATAATTATCAATTCTTACAGAAATAATGATAACTACATTGTCTAGAAATATGTTGCCAAATGTGATGTTTGCAAAAAATAGCTAACTAGTAAAGGGGTCTTAGCTATTAAAACCCACATTTAATAATATTGCCCTTTAGAACAGGAAACATGGTCGTTTAACTAAATCTGCATTAACACATAGGTAGCAAAAGTTACACATTTTATGACTAAAGAAATCCCTATCTTCAGTGAAAAAGAATGAGGAGGGGGGCGGGGCGCGGTGGCTCAAAGGAAAAAATGACGCAATGACAAATACAACAAGGACAACAAGACAGAGAACTGGTTTCTTTTTAACCTTGTTTTTCAAAGCCATCACAGAGCAGGAGGAATAATGTTTTACAACTCCTTCCACGGATATATCGCTCTTTCACTAAATTTGCAATCTTACTTAGAATATCAGATTACCGAGAAGGTTATTTATTCCAAGTTATATAAACCCAGAATATCTTGTTACACATTATGAATGCAAAATAAAATAATATACAATTGCTAAAGAAGATGCATAATGAATATTTTATAGTAAATACTTTAAATATTTATTAAAATGCAGCAATCCAATTAAGTGTTTCCATAAATATGCAGAGGCAATATGCATTTTAAACAAATTTCACTGACAATCACCCATGACTCTTATGCATCTGCCTAGGAGGACAAGAACCCCTGCTCTTTCTTATAATGACAGTTTTACCCAAGGCATAGCCCTGCTCACCCCCAGCAAATGCAAAACCATTCAGTGACCTTGAAGAAAAACTCTGAGACTAGATGTGCCGTTCTCATTCAATTAAAGTGACACTACCACACTCACTTGGTAAAAGAAGAGAACAATTTCATCGGGGAAAGTCTTTGATCCTGAAGTCCTTTCATTGGAAGAGGGAAGAGCTTCCTTTTAGGCTGGTACTGAAATCCCAGAACGCTCAGTGAGTTTACACTTTCCAGTGAACAAAGTTCTGATGCTGCACTCTTACTTATACATAGAACAGAAGGTTTCATTTTTTATGTTTAGCCAGAAATATCAGGTTTATCTTAAACATACCTGATTCTCTATTTTTGTAATTAGATAATGCTCAGATGAAGGGCCTTTTTACATTCGGTTGTAGACATCTGCAGTTTTTGAGAAAACTTACATGAACGACACATTGTACGCAATAAATATACAGGCAGGCACAGAATAGCAACTATATTAATGGATGTAAAAGTAATTTAGAGACTGGCACAGTAGCTAATGCCTATAATCCCTAGCACTCTGGAGGCCAAGGTGGAGGATGCTTGAGGTCAGGAGAAAAAATTAGTTTGGGTGGGTGTTGCACCTGTATCCCAGCTATTTGGGAGGCTGAGGCAGGAGTTTGAGGTTGCTGTGAACTAGGCTGATGCCATGGCACTCTAGCCCAGGTAACAGAGCGAGACTCGTCTCAAATTTTAAAAAGTAGTTTAGAGAAGCCCCTTCCTTCAAAAACTCTGTGATGGGAAAGAGGAAGACAGCATTGAAATGCTATATTCAGAGAAGTGAAGCTGAGTCAGCTATTGAAGAATGAGCAGGTCCCAAGCAGTCTAGATGTGAAGAGAGACCCACGATCCAAAATAAAAAAGCCCGAAGACAAAGATACAGACGAAAATAGACATGGGGCAAACACTGGCAGGTCTTCAGATTTCTAAAAACCTGGTAAAGGGTATGAGAGACTCTGCTGTCAGTGGCATCGCGGTCACATCATAGATCGTCTTTGTGTGGACACTACAGGGACAGATA